TTATGGGGGTAGGGCTAGCACTAGTGAGCTCTGGGGACAGGGCTAATATTGAGGACTGGGGGCTGACATTTGGGAGGTCTGGGAGAAGTTGGGTGCAGTGGGGCTCTGGAAACAGGAAGCTGGCATGGGGGGGGTCTGCTGGTGAGGGGCAGGCACTGGGGGCGTTGGGTGCAGGGGACTCTGGGGTCAGTGGCTGGCATTGGAGGGCAGTGTAGGGGTGGAGGGTTCTAGGGGTTAGGGTTGGCACTGGGGGGCTTGGGGACAGAGTGTACTCTTGTCCCGGCCTCCAGAGTCACCACAGACAGCTGGCTTCTGTTACAGCAGTCGCCTGCTATGTGGTGACTGCCAGAGCTGAAGCTGGCTGTTCGAGGTGGCTCTGGGGGCTGGGGCTTTTGGTGGACTGGTAACATTTTATTTGCATATTTGTATATCCATTTTATTCAAATAAAATGTTATTGGTCCACCAAAAGTTTGTGAATGGGTTTGCCGGTCCACAGTATAAAAAAGGTTGGGAACCACTAGTCTACACGTTAACTTCCCTAATTATAATGTTATAGTACAAATTAAACTTCATATTTAGCCAGAAAAAAAACAAGTATGAAAAATTGTAAGCGTGAACAATACATCCTGCTTAATTTATTGACTTCTGGTAATCTTATCTAGATTTTTATACAGTGATATACATGTGGTAACTTGGAGCCCAGTCCAGTTCTTAGTGAAATCAATGCCTCTTCCTAGCATCAACCATGGTGAGCTAATAGGTTTTTCAAGTTGATAAATTATGGACCGGTCTACACAGTTACAGTATAGCTTTACCAGTTTAACTCCCCGAGTGAACACTTACTCCAGTCTTACACTTATTAAGAATCCCTTTTTTTGTCTAGTTTAAATCCTTACAAAGATCAACCATAAACTAAACCAAAAAAGGTCCTCATATCAGAAATAACCGCATCTAGACTGTGCTTTCACTTTCAAAAAACCCTTTTTCAAAAAAGCGCTCTGATGCGTATACGCAAATGATTCACAAGATATTTAAATTTGCACTTTTGAGTTGCCTAATTTACATTCCTCTTTTGAAAAAGGAGTTTAGACATGCCCTTAGAGACTGACAAAAACCTCTTGCTGACTGCATTGCTGAGGGGGGCAGTTGTCTTCTAAATCACTTCATTACTGATGATTTGTAAATGATTCTCTGAAGCTTGTAACTGTTTCAGCTGCATTGCCTTTTAAACTCTGCAACTCTTTGTAATCTTTGTTAAACCTTGCAACTTTGCTTTATAAGTTCAGCAACTTACTGTAAACTTGGTGATTGTTGAGCCTTGCAACTTTGTAATCTTTGTAACTCAACCACTTTCCTTGTAATTTGCTCTAAACTGCATTCTCCCCTGAGATGTGTGTGCGCGCGTGTGCGTGAGACACAGAGAGTGCGCGAGAGAGCGCACAGAGCCAGGTGATGAGTCATCAGACCGATTAAGGAGACTGCTGCTCTGCTGGATCAAGGGAAGTCCAGACATTCTCCCTGGTGACAAATGTGGATGCGTCACAGGAGTTGTACAGAGGCAATAAAAGGAGAGAACATGTGGCAGAAGCTGTCTTTTTCTGAGGAGCTCCTCTTTCTGCAGCCAGAAGCGCTCTTTCTTTTCTGACCAGCTCCCCAGCCATGATCAGCAGACAGACCCTCCAGAATCAACATGCCTTGGCTCCTTCTGAAACCCCTATGCCTGTGAATGAATGAAGGTGTATGCACGTGTTTGTGTGAGAGAGAGAGAGCTGGTTCCCCCCTTTAGTTTAAACCTTTAGTGCCAGCTCTGTCCTCTTTAGTTTAACTATATACTGGAGTGTTAATTCCTCAATGAATAAATCCATACGAGTGTAATCCTGGGTGGTCTCCAGTGGGAATTTTTGGAGTAACAGCACTGTAGTTGACAGATCAGGAGTATTAAGTAGTCTATTTTATAGCCAACAGTAAAAGATGTTACTCCCTATGGGTAAAATACCTCAACCCTGTTTTGATAGGGCTAATTCTATGGGCAAGAAGTCTTTTTTCATCAGATTTAATGACAAAGTAATAACACTGTTCAGTATTTTAAAATCCTCTGGAAATATAAGACGACATGATAAATCTTGTAAATGAATGAGTCAAATGTGATGCAACATATGACTATGCAATCAACAACTTTCTTCTAACACACTATTTACAGGCAGTCCCCGGGTTACGTACAAGATAGGGACTATAGGTTTGTTCTTAAGTTGAATTTGTATGTAAGTCGCAACTGGCTCCAGAATTGCTCTGCCCCCAGCTTCCCGGAATCAGCCACTGATCAGTTTCAACAGCGGCTGAATCTCGAGCCTGGGAAAGAACAGCTGGGCTGCCAGGTAGGTCCCTGCAGGACCAACCCGGCAGCACCCCAGCTGCTCTACCCCAGGGTCCACAACAAAAGCCTGGACTGCTGGGGGGGGGAGGGCACA